TCTTTCAAGTGATTCAGCCCAGCTTTCCGGGATACTTCTATCAGAAGCCACCCAGTGACCAACTTGTGTTATTCGACCTGGAGAACTCAAAAGGAGGACAGGGACGTCTCTAAAGGCAAGTATGGAGGCCAGTATCTAATAAGCTTATGAGCCCTAAGGAGGTCTTAGAAAGTCAAGAACTATGAATAAGTCGAGCAATCTGCAGTGCAATTGTTTAATTGAAGTTACATTTCGAAATAAGTAATAAGTGCGCACAAAGAATAACAGCCGATAACACAAATCTTCGAAAACTACTTGGCGTATCCTATTATACAATACATAGTCGCCACCAAAAAGGTCTCAATCGTAGATTCTCCAACGGTGGAGTAAAATTGTAATCTCTTCTCTAGTTTTCTAGTGATGATAGAATTATCACAATGCCCAGACTCTGCTAGGTAATAAACCGCATGCAAACAGAGGTTCAGAACCCAACGAAGACAATAAACTATATTTCTCACACCTTTCCAAGATGCTCTTTCATCCTAGTTAGAAAAACATCTAGCCTATCCTCCACTCTTTCGAGAAAACTTAGCTCTAATTCCAATCACATCGCGTCTCCACTTTGCCCGACAACCGCCTCTGCCAAGGAGCTGAGCTACTGATCAGAGATTTATCAGTATCCGATCTAATCATGCAGTGATCGGCCATCTTAACGAATGGATGATGAAAACAGTTGCTAGAATTGGATGCATATAGGGTATAGTCGATCAGGCAACTCCGATTGGAGCAGGCAAATCCGAGTTGCTGGTGTGACCTTATTATAGACCTACCCTACATCTCCAACAACCCTCTTTTCAAAACACCAGTGGTCTACCAATCATCCATAAGACGGTCAGTCCAAAGAGAAGTTATTGATACTCGGACTACGGGCTAAGAGATTGGATTTATGTTACACAAGGGAGTTGAAGCAAATTTGCAACAGTTCGTTTGGTAATTTGATGTGGTGAGGGTTTATTTCAGACAGCAACTCAAAACGAGCACAAACCCACCCCGGAGAATCTTTACATTGGAGGAATTCGCGTTCGAATACGTCACATCCAGTCACCTTAGGACCCGGCACCGACCTCAACGCACACCCGAAATGTTGCCATCCAAATCCCGACCGGCTGCCACGCAACTACGTAGCTTTGAGAAAAGGTGAAACGGCGAATTATGACGAGTACTGGGCCCACGGAGAAAACATACGTAGGCGAGCTCTCCACATCGCGGAGCTGCTTACAAACGGCTGCAAGCCGGCTGTCACGACATGGGCGAGCCGCTGTGGAGACGTGCGCGTCTTGAGGGTTTCCAGTGGAGCATATCCACAGCCTGGTGCGATGGTGGTATTATATATGCATGCTGGATCTCCTCTGTCGGCCCGTTGCAGCCGTGGTTTAAATGTCTATGGGCTCTAAGCTTGCATGGAAGATCCATGGAGTGAGCTACTGCCGGTGGTAGGTATGGCGATTATTTGTTGCAATGCTCACTGATTCTACGACAGTCTTATCCACCTTTGAAACACGCCACTGTTCTGCTTGGGTAGATTGTGATCTGATTCAAGGAGCCTTGGTGAATATTTATGGGGAATTGTGGCGGCGACGAGGTATAGGAGATCGAAGCGAGCCAGACGAGACTCCATGTCACGATCATACGTATACGGGTGGCATGAACGACTCGGATTCTCCAGTATTGTCAAAGCACTCGGGGTATGAGGAGGAGAAAACGACCGAATACCGAGACCAACGAGACGACGCGAGAGAGGTCGAAAGATCAAGGACTTGAACGGGTTTCGTCCCCTGAACTCATCCACATATGGTGGGTTTTCTGGCCACGAAAGTTCACCTACCCAGGACTTCTGGTGTACATCGCAGCAACATAGGCGTAGACCTACCAAGGTATGTTCCGACATAAGATTCGTCTATGAAGGGGAGACAAGGAGAATGGATGCTCCCAGGATAGGATCTGTTGTAGCCCTTTCTTAGGCAGCTGTCGATGCTAGGATGCTAGTCGACGGGTACTTGGTCACTCAGCATCGCCTTTTACAAACCCATAGAAACTAGACCTATAATTTTGTAATGTCAAATTCTCACTATTTGTATAATGTTCTTGGTCAACATAAGATCAGAATGTTAAGAAGAGGGAAAGAGAGTTGATGAAGCTTAGCGCAAGGTGCACGAAGTTGTAAATGGCGATGATGTATTCCCGGTAATTGGAAAAACTTGTCGAGTTTGAACCAGAATTGATCCATGGTATCTGTCGGATAGAGCGAGGATATAGAGGAGATGAAAATGTTTCGTTGGGCTTAACTACAAAATATGATTTGCGAGCTTTGCGAGGGTTATGTGGACTGGATGACTATACAGACCCAGGAACGGTTGTTATAAATCAATCATGACATCGTGCCTAGGTTAGAAAACAAGGAAAAGCGTAAGGAGATGGGGGAGAGACGAAAACCCCATGAATACCACCATCTGTCCACTTGTCCGACGAGGAGTTGGGGAGTATCAGCATCGTCACCGGAGATCATCCTCCTCTGGAAGCGAATAAAAATCGGCTCAGCCGTACTATGAGGTAGAGACTATCGATGGATCAACATCTAGGCTTTCGACATTGGCTCCCTCCCAGGACAGGTGACCTAGATCGAAGAGATTTGAGCAACGGCTTATTCCTGCCGAGATTGGCGCACAGAATTATCGGCTCCCCCTAACAGCGACGGGCTAGACTCAGCTGAAAAATGATGGCTTCTTTTTTGCTTGCGTGGCCGATCACCGCGAGAAGGGATGATGACGCGGTGAGATTTTCACAAGCGAGGAGACACTGATGAAGCCCCCTCAGATTTCTAGGCCCCTTGGATTTCTAGGTGCGGCGGTCATATCGCGGTGGCGAAACTCTGGGCATCGGGGCAAGCACCACATTGGAAGTCTGACTCAATTTTTCCAATTTCACTTACACAAGAACAAGGCTCTCCGTCTAGGGTGAGGCGGGAACAGCCATTGTAGGAGGCTAATCTCGCTGAGACGCAATACGGGCGGCCACGGCTGGGCATCAACATGTACAATGCAGGAATCACCGGGACGGAACCCGAAATGGGTTCAGCGGCCCATGGATCTGCCCATGATCGGGAGGGTTCCAGGATGAAAAAAACAAGCGTAAATCGAGAGCAACACAACCGTCTCACTGCGGCAGTCATCCAGTGCATCATTCCAGAAGCCAGACCAGGGTGAGGATTGCGTGCTCGCGGGCCGTGGTGGAAAAGGGAAGACGCCTTTATGAAGGCTGAGCGGTTCTGGCCTCTGACAAGATTGTTCAACCGCGGGCTGGACTGTGCTCAGGCCCGTGAGATTGTTCTCCACAGAGGGCGTGTGGTTTCTCGTAACGAAATGAGTGAGGCTTGTCCTCGGAGATGTCTTCATCATTGGGCAAAGGGAGTCTTTACCATCACGCCATAGGGCGTCAAATCTCCCTTGGTATTGACGTAGTATCTTAGATCGAGGTGCACATGGCATGGAAGGGATGTTTGATAGAGCTAGTCGTATGGTGGTTACCGAATGGGGTCAGCGATGCAGTTCCCTCTGGGCTGTACCCATCGGGACCAGGCCTAGATCGTGATATGATGGGCGCCTGGTAATCGATAATTTGCATTCCGCCGGGTTAGAGTACACCAGAGATTGGGAAAAAGCAAACCCCCAGCCCAATCCATCCCCTTGGAGGCGGCGAGGGTTGATGAGATCCCAATCCAGCCAAGACTATGGAATGCCCCCGGGGGCTTTTCAACGCCTTACTCAACTGGGCCTATCACGCAATGCGCGATGAGCCGATTATCCGAGATGTGGCTTGATATGTCCAATGAGCAGTGAGGCAAGGCAACCTTCAGGCAGGTGGCCAAGGGAAGTTGATGGTGATCCCTGAATACCGCCATCAAACATGATTGAAGGGGCTATAAGGTCAAGATGGCATCACCGACAGCATCGAGAACGCAATCGCTTCTAATCGCGCGAAGGAACGAGATTAGCGATGGCTAGACGAGAGAAGAGGCGACGCGGAGGAATTGAGATCTGCACTCGCGCAAGATCGTTGTGATCTGATATGCCCATTGTTGACACGAGGCCTCTCGCGATCGATGGCGGTGGTGGCTTTTAACACTAGGCTAGCGATCTATCTGTTGATGTGATCGATAGACGAGGCACCTAGGCTCTCGCGAGGGAGTGTCTCGACTCTGCTCATGGCTAGTTCCGGGGGAGGGGGGTGGTTTAGCGAGATGATCACGGCATATAAATAAAATAAAGTAGAGCAAGCATGAAGACGGGCAGTGGAGCTCGCCGCGTGCTGGGCAATGTTTGTCCGTTGGATGCCGCCCGTCCATGTGTCTCTGTCGATGGATAAGCAGGGAGCTTCATGGAGTCTGGAGCTGCAGTAGGGGAAGGGAAGGTGGGATGGGAGGAGCTGGGACACTGCATATTGAGTGGAGCCGCGGCCAGCATCTGGAGTGAGCCTAACTCTAACGCTATTATCAACGGGGCGGATTGCTTTCTTTTTTTTCTTTTGCTCTCTTGTCGCGTCTGCCGTGCGAGCTAGTTTTATTCTCTCTTTTTCTGGCTTGATCTGGGGGTAGGTACATGGGTCCTGAGCCAAGACCGATTGCCGCGGAGATTGCGGGGGAAAGGGATGACCAGCTGGTAATGTGACTTGCTTGATTGGTGACAAGACACGCTCCGCTGCCATGTGAGGCCATCACGAGGGTCGCGGCTGTGCTGACCACTCACAAGAGGTAACCAGAGACTGCGCAGGCCAAGGCCGACACCAGCCGTGGCAGAGGCGGTCTGAGTCTGACTCTGCATCTACAATCCAGGAATTTGGGATCATAGCTGAGAGGTCGGCGTAGGCGATAGAAATGATGGCATAGTGTTGGTATGATGGTGGAGGGGTGTATCCAGGGCACAGGTTCTGGAGGGTCCCCTAGCGGCTAGGGCTTCAGCTAGCACCTAGCGCACACCCTTGGGGCTGGGCCAAGGATCGAGGGCCGCACCGCAATTCTCTGTCTCGTCACTGGCCTCGGCCGTCATAGTCTGCGATTGCTGCACGGCAAATTCGATTAAGGTTTTTTCGCCCTCGCCATCTCGGCACCGTATTCCGTCCTGGGAGCAGCAAAGGCTTGGGCTCCCACGCTGCAGCTGATTGATAGTTCCTAGATATGAATTTGGTGCTGATCTGGGCCTGTACCCTGTACGTACCGCCTACCGCCTGCAGCTCCAGCGTCATGGCCCGCTGCCCACCACACCATTCCCAGATCTCGCCGTCCCCAGATTGAGGCTCTGCCGTGACAGCTTCCAACGGTGCTCTAGAAAGACTTGTGCCTTGCGCCTCCCGTCTCGCACGACGCTTCCAAGGCGCGTCTTGGGCCTGCCAAATGTCTGGGCGCGCGGAAATCGCAGCGTCCCTGCACCAAGGCCCTCCTGTTCCGCCCCTCCCCTAGAGTGCAGATTCTGCATCAGCGCCGGTTCTGTGGGCTTTGATTGGGTCCGCGTCGATTGCGCAATCGCCCCTCTGAAGCTCACCATTTTGCTGCTGCGTCTCGACTGCACGCCACAGCCAGCCGCTGCTCCACTGTACACACCCACTGAAAAACTGGACAGAAGAACTGAGACAGAGAGCAGATTGAGGGTTATGAGAAGGCCAACATTAACGATGATCAGAAAGAATATTACAGCAGGATAAAATAACAATAATGGAATAATACTTGATTCATAACATTTTATTATATTTATTACCAGCTTTGAATAATCAGACGATAGTATTCGTAGACTCCAAATAAGCAGCCCAGTGTTTGCGTGTCTCAATTTCAAAGTCACCCTCGGCTGGCCAGATTTGTCCAATGTCCCGGGCACAAACCATCTGCCTGTACGTAACCTCGCTGGGGTGGGGGACCTTCCGCTCCCTCCCTCTTGCGTTTCGAGGGCTGGATCCTCTTGTATTTCGGGGCTGGATCGTCACTGACGAATACGTCCACGCCATGCCAGACCAGACACCGGCTCCCTCCGCCCACGCCGGGCTGCCACACTGGCTCCAACTGAGTCTGACGGCGCCGAGCAACTTGCACTAGGCTCATGCAAGGCCACGGATAATCGGATCGTGCCTGGGTCCTAGCCGTGCCACAGGTTTGACTCTGAGTCTTGGCCTGCTTTACAGTTGACAGATCCATGCCAAACGCGATACTGGTGGTGAAATTGCGACGTTCGCCATCGTTTGCTCGCAGTATATGAGGCCTGGCATTCCCTGGTACTTCTCTCTTTGCTATATCTCTCCTCGCTATAAAACTCACTGGTACTTGAAAGATAATCAAGCACAAAAAAACAGACAAAAGCCGCTCCCAACCGTCCAGCTCTGATCATTCGGCCTGGGCTTGACGAGTGACCAGACTTTAATCATTACCCCATCTGCCTCTGGGGACCCCTGCCCTGGCTGGCCTGCCGGTCTCGTGTGCAGTACGTACTTGGCGTCGTCAGATCCCGTCTCACTACTCCTCGCCTCCTCCACATCCAGAGCCCAGGCCAAGCGCCTCCTCCGTCCACAGGGACTGTACTTTGATATTGTACACACACCCACGGAAGCAGCACTGAGAGCGGCTCGAGCTAGTCCGAGTCCCGACTGCCGTGTCCCGACAGGCGGTCCAGGCATCACGCCTTTGCTATCCGCGGCTCGACAGGCCCTGCCTTCAGCATCTTCTTTTAAGCTCAGGGCTCGCTCTGCCGATCTGCTGTCTGAGTTCCCGTCAAGCTGGTCTCCCCGATTGCCATCACCGACCGGACCGCAAACCTTCATCCTCTACGTCTGAATAGGCTCACGGCAACTAGGGTCCAGCCTCTCCTCCCCTTGCCCTCTGCGCCCTCCCGTCCCTCAGCGAGCCGTGCCCATCTTCTTGGCCCTCGACCGAGCCGCAAATAATCATGGCTGCCGAGAAGAAGAACACGGGCGCCCGTGTCGCCAAGTTCTTTGGCATCGACACGAGCCGTCCCGAGGGTTATGTCCCCGACCTCAACGACGCCGACTACCTCTACGTCGAGCAGGAGCCCACCGTCAGGGAATACTTCCAGGAGATCACCCCTTCGCTGGCCCAAGTCGGTCACTACTTTTACCGTCTCTTCCCATTCCTTAGCTGGATTGGCAACTACAACCTCACATGGCTGACCGGCGACTTGATTGCTGGTAAGTGTTCCTCTGGCGCGCCAATTGGCATGTTTGCTGACCGCACCGTTCAATTACAGGCATCACCGTCGGCGCCGTCGTCGTCCCCCAATCGATGGCCTATGCCAAGCTCGCCTCCCTCCCTGTTGAATATGGTCTCTACTCCTCCTTTATGGGTGTATTGATCTACTGGTTTTTTGCCACATCCAAGGATATTACCATTGGTGTAAGTAGACGCATCCGTTCCATCTCGCGCGCAACACTCACAATGCGCTTCACAATGCGCTTTCCCCACCATGTCCCGTCAGCAAAGCATCAAGTATTACAGACGCTAATAGTTAATTGAATATAGCCTGTCGCAGTCATGTCCCAGGTGACTGGGGATGTCGTCCTCGCCGCCGCACAGAGAGCTCCCGATATCCCAGGCCATGTCGTCGCCTCTGCACTGGCTCTCATCACCGGCTGCATCATCCTGTTCCTCGGTCTTGCCCGCCTGGGATGGATTGTCGAGTTCATTTCTCTGCCCGCCATCTGCGCCTTCATGACTGGCTCTGCCGTCAACATTTTGGCTGGCCAGGTTCCCAAGCTTATGGGCATCCCCAACATCAACACCCGAGGACGCGGTACTCACCTGGTCATCATTGATACCTTGAAGGGCCTGCCCAACACCGGTATCGATGCCGCCCTGGGCCTGACCTCCCTCTTCCTGCTCTATGCCCTGCGCGCCCCCCGCCCGTTCATGGCCAAGAAGCAGCCTCACCGTGCCAAGATGTGGTTCATCATCTCGACTCTTCGCACTGCCTTCACCATCCTCCTGTACACCGGAATTGCTGCTGGTATTGTCATCAAGAAGAAGAACAACAAGTACCTGGATCTTGTCGGCAACGTCCCCAGTGGCTTCCAGCATGCAGGTGCCCCCCAGCTCAACACCAACATCATCAGCTCCTTCGTCAGCGAGCTTCCTGCTGCCGTCATCGTCATGCTCATCGAGCACATTTCCATCTCCAAGTCTTTCGGCCGCATTAACAACTATGTTATCGACCCTTCGCAGGAGCTCGTCGCCATTGGAGTCACCAACATCCTGGCCCCCTTCCTGGGTGCCTACCCTGCCACTGGATCATTCTCCCGTACTGCCATTAAGTCCAAGGCTGGTGTCCGCACCCCATTTGCTGGTGTCATCACCGCCATTGTCGTCTTGCTCGCCCTCTACGCCCTGACGGCCCTCTTCTTCTACATTCCCAACTCTGCTCTCGCTGCAGTCATCATCCACGCCGTCGGCGATGTCATCACCCCTCCCCAGACTGTCTTCCAGTTTTGGCGTGTTGCCCCCCATGAGGTCGTTATCTTCCTTGCTGGTGTCCTAGTCACCATCTTCACCAGCATTGAGAATGGTGTCTACACCACCATCGCCACTTCGTTTGCTGTCCTCATTTGGCGCCTGTTCCTCAGCGAGGGACGCTTCCTTGGCCGCACTCGCGTCCGCACTGTTCGTCAGACCAACAGCGCCCAGGCCTCCAGCTCTGACGGAGAGGGCAAGAACAAGGAGACCGTCACCGAAGATGAGAAGGACTTCTCTCTTCGACCCGGCTTCCTGCCCGTTGAGCATCAGGATGGTTCCAACTCAGAGGTCGTCGTCGACAACCCTTACCCCGGTGTTTTCGTATACCGCTTCGCTGAAGGTTTCAACTACCCCAACGCCTCGCGCTACCTCAACCACCTCACCACAGTCATCTTCAAGACCACGCGCCGAACCGATCCCTCTCTCCTCGGAAAGGTCGGCGACCGCCCGTGGAACGCCGCCGGCAAGAAGGGCCAGCTCGAAGACAACAGCCACCTCCCCACGCTCAAGGCCATCGTCCTCGACTTCTCCGCCGTCAACAACATCGACGCCACCTCCGTCCAGGCACTCCTCGACACCCGCAGCCAGCTCGACCGCTACGCCGCGCCCGACAAGGTCGACTGGCACTTCGCCAACATCACCTCCCGCTGGACCAAGCGCGGTCTCGTCGCCGCCGGCTTCGGCATCCGCAACGGTCCCCCCGGCCGCACCATCTTCAGTATCGCCGAGCTTGGCGGAGCCGACAGCGCCGCCGCCGCCGCCGAGGCAGAGCGACGCAAGGCCGCTGAGCAGACCAAGGAGAAGCACGCCGACGACATCGAGAGCATTGGCGCAGGTTCCAGGCGGTCGAGCAGCAAGCAGGTGGCGCTGCAGGGGCTCAACCGTCCGCTGTTCCACTTTGATCTTCACGAGGCTGTTGAGGCGGCTATTGCCAACGCGCAGCTCAAGACTCCTTGATTTTGGCGAATGTGATTAAAGAGTTAACTGGTACAATAATTATATATACCCTGGTTTTGTTTTTCCCTTGGTTGGATGGTCTTAATGTCGGGTTGTTTTGGTAGAGGGGGGTGGGAACTATCATGAATCATATGTCATCTTCTCAACTTGAGTGCATACCTTGCAATTACTTTGACGTCTTGTTTTGCTTGATACCTAAGGCGCATAGGGCCCGTGAGCCGGTTAGATTAATACCTACAGCCACTGAGCTGCTCACCTAATATTGGCTTGAATCTTGCGTGAACATGTGACTTGGTTTGAAGAAGGGTGGGATTTTAGGCGTGGACAAGGGATAGGCTTGGCAGGTGTTTTTAAGCCGGTGTCGGAACAGCCTGGATTGCGAAGGCTTTTTGATAGATGATATTTAATAATGATCAATTAATCATTGACCAGTAGTTAGGAAATATTGTCTACTTAGTAACTAGGTATAAACATTAGGGAAGCATTATCACTACATGAATGACTGCCACAATCAGATAACTTTGCCGTCCCGACAGCCAGATGCCGATGCGACAATGGCCAATAGTAGTGCAGGGCGATGTCGCTTGAATGCCCAATTGGGCAATTGGCAAATTTGCCCATCTCTTGGCAGCGAGATGTGACGGATGTCGGTGGTTAGCGGGAGGCTTGCTCGGCGATCTGAGATTCGAGCCGAAGTTTGCTTTCTTGTCTGTAATTGAAGTGCACTATGGCAAAACGTGGTCTAGGGGAGGATTGGCATTTGCCTGGCCGGCCGAAATGT